TTAAAGGAAGGACTGCGCCATTTAGCCATAAAATGCAAATCTATAATTCAAATTCAAATTCCGTGAGGCTGCAGCTGTGCAATTTCCAAGGTGTCAAGCGTCGATGTTTGTAGTCGATGAATAATTCGATTGCGTGACACCATCAATGTGAATAATATCGCGTGACTAAAGTTGGTTTGCAGCATGTTTCTGATTGAAAAATTTTTTTAAAAAAGTTTTAGTTGAGGTTTCAGTAATAGTAATGGTTGTTCTGTTATAATTTGTATGATTTGTGGACTGAACTGACCGATTCATCCTTAAGGCATTGGGATTTTCTTTATTTTTTTTAGGATCGGTTTTTGTGCTAAAGAATTTCGGTGTTTCGGATTGGGTGTTCATTGCGGTTTGCGGATTTTCCGTTCTTTAGCATTTGGTTTTCGGTTTTCGTCAAAAATACCTGTCTAATGGGCTACAGATTTGGTTTCCGATGAAGTTTTCGGATTTTCCTATTTGGATTCCGTTTTCTCTTCGATCCAAGCGGCCATTATGCGCCTCCACCGATCTCCAATAGCCGCGAAACCTCTGTATTCTCCAATTGTCAACACCGTATCGGATCGATTAGGGTTTTGAGAACTGGGATGTGAACATTTATCGGTTTTGACTGTTTTGCACGCAGTTTTCGGCTCTGGTCGAATTTTTTTTTTGCGGTTTTGCGGTTATGGATGATTTTTTTCGACGGTTTTGAGGTTTCTAATAGACCCTCTCATCCTTCCGTGCAGTGGAGTTCCACACGGATTCTTGTTTTGCAAATTGAAAATCTCTCTTTCTAAAATTACAGATCATCCCTTTCGTTCTGTTCCGTGTCTTAAATTAGAGTAGGCCTCGTTTAGTTATTTCTTTTGAAATTGTATGTGGAATTCGTTTAATTTTTTTTTTAATTTTCTTTTTAATTTTTCGGGAAATAAGTGCTGTTGTCTTTCTCACTTCACACTTGAATTTGGGACTGAAAGTGAGGGGAATGTGGGCTGAAAGCTGGGGTGTCTGTGCCAGACAGCTTGATTCTGCCTTTGTCTGCATTATCATGTATTAACTTTTTAAATTTCCATCCCAGCATGAATTTTTAATGTTCTGAAAAACTTTTCTTTTCTTCTTGAATCCTAAAAATATAACAAATTTATTATATTATATTTGTATTTCGCTCAGCACTCATGTGTATTGAGCACTTTCCAACAGCATTTGCTACAATTTCCCACAATTAACAAATTTATTATAATCCGAAGATTTCTCCGTAATTTTTTTTTTTTAGGTGCCCCAAAGTTATCAAGGAAGGTCTGTTTGATCTTGGCTGTCTTCCTCCAGCTGTAAGTGAAATACTTAAGTGACTTTCGTCAAATAATGACAACAAAATTGTTTACATGTTGCAATGATTTGATTTAGTGCTCTCCTTCCAAATTAAGCACTCCCTCTGGAATAAGTGCCTCTCTCCCCCCCCTGTTTTAAGTCAGAAAGTTTGAAAGGTGATAATATGTTGCTTAAACTTCACCTGTAATTTCATGCTTGCACAATTGATAGCTATTATTACATGTATTATTATTATTTTTTAAGCTTGTCATTATTTTTATACTGGCCTTTGTCAAGCAAAGGGTCAAATCTGGACTTCAAAACTTCAATGGATATCCTGGTTTACTGATGTGAGTACAGAACTGATTGATAGAGAAAAAAGGTCAAAGCTTATATTGAAGGTCAACACCATATGGTTTGATCATTGTGTACTTTTAAGTAGTTGTACCTAAGTCTAAGTGACACCCAGCTACAAGTACTATTTTTGAAAAAGTTGCTACTTTTAATACTAGGAAAGGGGATGTGCTGCTGGTTTGGATGGCATTTTCATGACTCTCTTAGCTATAATGGGGTAGCATTTTCAATAGAGTTACTAGAGTGGAGACTAACACATTTTCATGATTTGGAAAATTTTCATACATCAAAGTAAGGATTTACAAACTGGAAGGTTCAAATTAGATTGAAATGTACCAGAATGTTAATGCAGTGAAGATTAAAAGTTAAGTGTTCTAAATTCAATTAAACAAATGTGTCACTTCACTTTAGGATCATGACCTACTTAAAAGACTTGGTAGTAGCTAGATAGAGCATCTATAAACAGAAATTGACTAAGTTGGGACCACAAAAATTACATTTCTGATAAAGTGACTAACCTAGCAGATGGGGTGTATAATAGTCCATTTCACAGTTGTGTGCTTGGTTGCCAAGCCTTTGAACAGGAGTGAGGCTAAGGTTGACCTTGTTAGGATAAAAACCTTACTGCTTTTCAAATTCAAATTACTTTGTTATCATGTTAACTGGATACTGGTCTCTATCACAGCAAGGTCACCTTCAGCCTCACTCCAAATCCCTTGAAAGGCTTGACAACTAAGTAAAATGTAAACAACTGTAAAATGGCCTATTGGCCACAGAGTAGACTATTATGGAGCAGGTGTTCTTAGAGGCCAGTGGTACATACTCAGCAAAAATTGACCTAAGAACTCTCCCCACCCCTAATTTGGAAACTGTGCCATTTCAGTCTGAATATAGACAGTGCAATAACATGAGGAATTTGCCTATTGAATTTGTTTAAGGGGAGTGTATTTTGAGTGAGCTATTTGGGTGCAACTGTTTTACAAATGTTCATGTGGCTTCCTTTCAGACCATTTGATTTTTTAGGTGGTTTTAGCAACAGATTCACCATTGCTGTTACGTTTGGAGCCACTTCCAGCACATGCCTGAATATGTTTTTGAAACCAAAAAATGGAATTTTCAGATTCCTGACCCAGCTGGATGGGTGAAGGGTAAGTGATCATACATGAATAAATGAATTGAATCAATGAATTGTTTTTTGTTGTTGTTTTTTTTGTTTATCTCACAGTTAAAAATCAGTTAAATACTTTAGGAGCTATGAGTTGACTCAGTTGCCATGGGGCAGTATCACCTGTTTGCTGGATAATGTATAGATATTATAGGGAGAAGTTACATGTTAATTATTTCAGGGAGTTAAAGGGTTAACTACCTGCACAGCAAGAACACCTTCGCAATGTAGAAAGAAATGACAAGAACACGTCATCTAAACCGGTTGCTAGACAATTTATCCTCCTTAATCTCTTTCCCTACATCTAGGCTGTTCGAAGGGCTGCAAAACTCCAGAACAGTGATTTATCTTTCAGATCGGCACTTTTCATTCCCACAGTACCAACGAACACTTTTCATTCAGCTAACTTATTCTTGTTTTCTAGTCACTATATTCCCACCAATAGCGTGGCTCCATTTTCTGCAGATAAATACACACGCAACTCACAATTCCTCCAACCGCTGTGATGAAGGGCTAACGCTCGAAACTTCAGCTTTAAACTCGTTACAGTGGCCAATTTAAATTATCAACTCAGTTAATAATACAAAATTACACTGTTATACTCTCCCCCTGATG